AGGTCGATCAATTTTGCCAACTCACTGAACAAATACACTTTTGGCACATTTAATTGATCTTTAAATTGAAAATAATTTGTATACGCTTCAAGAGAGCCTTGTGGCGTAGTTATGTAATGTCGGACGGTAAATGGAGTACTTTTTGCAATATGTACAACAATTTACCCCTATAAGAACTCAGCTTGAACAGAAGCCAGCTGCACTAAAATTGGTATATATGACTATTTCGAATAAATTTAGTATGTATATATCATATTAAGTCAGATCGGCCAGTTATAATTTAAGACTGTCACAGACATCGAGACTAGATTACATTAAACAATTCTAAAATAACTTTACAGTCCATCACACCCCCAGCAAATCTGGACAAGAGTATTCAAGCTTCGGCACTTCGCAGTTCCTATTAAATTAATCGTGCACAAAACTGTTGATTCGACTTTAAAGATAATTTTTTTGGACAGCTTAAAAAGTAACGAATTCTTGTTGCTTCAATTTCGAACGGGATGTGCAGCTCACGAGTTTACATTGAAGTGAATTTTTTAATTTATAAAAAATACTTTTAGAGTTGGGGAAGTGCTTTGAGGCTATTCAAAGCAGGTGTGATAAAACAGAGACGGGGTAGGGGCACTGTGCAGATAGCAAAACATAATTCAAAAGAGGCTCAAAGTCAAACAATATGATAAGCAACATGGACAGACTGAAAAGCTGACAGACTGCCTGACAGACAGACTGACTGAGTGACTGACTGAGTGACTGCGTCTGTGCTAAGCACTTGAGCTGCAGCCACTTTAAGGTTCAACACATTTGACACAGTGAGCACCCAAACAACTGACACAAAGCCGGCTTCCGAGCTCCAAGCACTTGCCAATTTCTGAGTGGACTTCAACGCCGACTCCAACTGCCTGCCAATTGGCAGCTGCCAGTTTTTTTTTTTTTTTAGTTTTTTTCTCCAATTAAAGGTTAGACAACGCGACGCGATTTATATACATACACGCCTATACATACATATACATTTATGTATATTTTAAGGTGCGTCCTGTTGCGTCCGAATAAGGCAGCGCCATAAACGTGAAACGTTCATCCGACAAGCGGCAAACAATCCGCAGACAACCAACAACCGACGCGTCGCTGGCCAAAGACAAAGTACAACTGTTTCAACTCGAATGAGCTTCAGACTTCTCAGAAGCGCTTCTCGTTGTCGTTGCCGTTGCCGTTGCCGTTGCCGTAGCCATTGCTGTTGCTTCTATCGCAGCCAATTCGCCGACTTGTCGCATTTACCAAACACAAAAAAAAAAATAAAAAAATGTTTGTTGGGCTTTCGAAGTATTGAGAATCTTGACGGTAGCTTAAAATCTTTAAGGGGCTATTAAAATACCCTGTACTCAAAACTTAGCTAAAGAGTTGAATACATTTTTAAAGCTGTTTGTGTCTATTTGAAGGAGGATCTTTGAGAGATATGTTAACAGTATTTGGTATGTAGACTATCTGTATGTACACATTTGAATATCTAGATGGTATATCTGACTCCTCAAGCTGCAAAACTAACAAATACATATGTAAGTATATATATTTCTTTTGAATGTGGTAATATGTATTATAAGCAATAATTAGTTTTGTTTACAGTTAATCCAATCTACCAATAGAATTATTACATATAAGTTAATGACTATATCTAGAATAAACTATCTCTCTCTCTATATATATATATATATATATATATATTTTTTTTTTTTTTTTTTTTTTAATTAAGCCATTAAATTTATAAGTAAAAAAAAAAAAAAAAAAAAAAAAAAAATCGAAAATGATTTTAAATAGTCTTTTTTTTACCTGTATAAAAATTCATAATATATTTTAATAATTTTCAATACGTCCTTAAAAATACGTATATATTTTTAAACACAATTTAAAATATTAATAGTAATATTTTTAATTATTTATTTTAATACATTTATGTTTTCAGTTTTTTTTTTTTTTTTTTTTTTTGTATTTATAAAAAAGTTACCATAATTACCAAATATAATTAAATATTGGTAATTATTGTAATTTTTTACAAATAATATAACCTATTCTTATATAAATTCTTATTCACATTTCCCATAATACTTCTCGGTATATGAACATTTACAGAATATCTCATCGGGCCAGAACAAAACAGCATTTGGTTTTTTTTTTTTTTGTTTTTGTTTTTTTTTTTTTTTTTTGCTACTTCCAGGAAGAAGGGTTTGGGCATTCAAAATATTTTTGTAGATGGCTGCGGTGGCGTATGCGTGATATTTGTGTTCAAACATATACTCATTAGTTAACTATTTGTTTGCAATGTTATACAGTTAACTGAATAAGTAGAACCCATATAGAATTTATTTCTAGAAACGTTGACATTGGAGCACTTTAAAACGATTTGTAATACGAATTTGCAAATAGATGCAAATATTGTAATATGCAAATTAGCTGAGATAGAGTCATTAATCAAGTGTCACTCAAGATTTAATTATAGTACTGAAAAGCTCTTTGCAAAACACGCGAATAGCAACTAATGAGATAAGTTGATAAATTATCGCTGCTGATTTATATTTTTTAATGCAATTGCTTGTTTACAGAGAGAAATTTTGTAAATAAAATTTAAATTACTTTTACACTTAATCTAAAATTTGTATTTTTATTTATTACGCCAAAATCAGTAGGTCAAGTCCACTGTCTATAATTACGATCAAATCTGATTAATATTAACTAAAAGCCACTTAATTCGCTAGAGACATTCAAATCTGATTAATTTGCTTCAGTTACAAAGAAAATGACTGACTAGAGAATACCCAAAATCTAGACGATAGTATTATTTGAATAATAATATGATTTATTGGATGGATCACGTCACTTTCTGCATTCACTCGTATTGTTTATAGGCTGTGGCAATGGGTATATAAAAAGATTTTATGCCCATATTGTAAACTTAGACATGAACGTAAATGTCTAGCTGATAAAATACAAGTACTATATATATGTCTTAAAAGCCCATAAAAACATCAGATAAATAAGATGTAATTTTGCTTAGATTTTGTTCCTATATTTTCTATATCATGGACGACTGAAGTGTTCTAAGATCTTCTTAAATTTTATAACTTTTAATTAAATTATTATTTAAAACAAAAAAACACACACACAATTTAAAAAAGTCATTGTTAAGTTTAGCTGATTTGTATATTTATTTATTAGGTTTTTTGAATTTTTTTATATATTTATTTATTTTATTTTATTTATTTTTTATTTATTTAGTTGAATGTTTTTCGCCTTCAGGCGAAACATTTTCTTTTATTTTCTTTCATTTATTTATTTATTTTATTTTTTATTTATTTATTACATCTTCCTGGCATTTTGTAAGCATTCGAACAACCCAACTTTGAAATATTAATTTTTCTCAGTATTTAACAGATCTTTATGTAAATTATTTATTTTATTTTATTTTTTTTTGCTTTTTTTGTGATTTTTAGCATAAAAACGTGCTTGTACTTCTTATCAATGACAAATATCCACAGATATGCAATAAATACGTTTTTTTATTTTGTATTTTTTTTTTTTTTGGCGAAAAGCTTAAATTTATGACTTGCAGCTGCGGAAAAAACTCCTTTATAGTTATTGCAATATTTATGCACAGTCTTTTTTATTTTTCTTGTTTTTATTTTACTTTTTTTTTGTGAATTAATTAGTGAGCTATTTGAAGACGGAAAAGCTTGGATTTTGGCCAAGTTAACAAGCGCGCTGAGCTGACATGGAACCGCTTGCCATGCGCTACGTTTTACCAATGAAACTGAAACCAGCTGCGAGGCAACTGAAAAGCCGCAAACCCACAAAATCCAACAGCAACAACAAAACTTTTCGTCGTTGACTTTGTCCTCGGCTGTCATCGTGCACTCCCTGTACGCGTGTATGTGTGTACGCGTGAGGGTGAGGGTGTGCGTTTATCTAAGTGTGCGTGCGTCAATTTCCACCCTTGCTGCAGCCTGCCTCTGGCTCGCCCTGTTGCTGCCGCTGCTGCTGCACTTTTGCTTATCAACGGGGTAATCTTTAGCCCAATCTCGCACTGATAGCCCATATATTGGCAGATATTCATGAGATAATCTCATGCTGATTATTATATATACGTATTTCATATATTTCAGTTCTCGCTCTCACTCTCAGCCGTGCTGAAACATGATCTCATCTACTGCATCTCTCATCTCATGCTACTACGACCCATAGGTAAATAGAGTTCATTGAGCGAGGGCTGCTCTTATCTATGTATTGTTTACATGTTTTGGATTCGGATCTGTTTATTTGCTAAACATATGTATGTACATATATTTAAGTGAAAGCACTGGTAGCGCTTGGATTCTGATTACTCACTGGGCTTATCTTTATGAATGAGCGAAGACTATAACAGCAACGTTTATTATCGTATATCTAAGTAGGGTATGCTGGGTGGTAAGTGTCAATAAAAATTCCTATATCCTTAAAATCAAGATATGGCAGATATATATATCAACGCCTACCGAGCGTGGGCCAGATCATCCTATTTGACATCTTTTATAAACTTGCACAACTAATTTATATATTAATTGGGGGCGCGGCAAATCGAAAAACGGATCAGCCGTGTTTGAACCGTAAATGAGTGTTCTGCTGCCGGTGATTCCCGTCTGCAACGCTCTCACCTGCTTTTAATTTGTTTAAACTAAAGTAAAATAAATATGTCGGTTTTTTTTTTTTTTTTTATATTCAATTTATTTACAATTTAGGATCCGATATTTTGTTTTTTGTTTTTTTTTTTTTTTGGAATTTTGTCCATGAATGGAAGTAATTTATCCATAATGAGTAATTTGTACAAAGCTTTTTTTTTTTGAAAATAAAACGAAGACACTGCGGATATGACCAATTGTGATCTTGGCCGGGGTCGTTATCTCCTCGGTCGTGTCCTTCGGTTTCGATTCAAGTAACATTTATAATTCTAATAGTCGATGATGCACTAACGCTTAAAACTATAAATGTATGAAATTCCAATGGATCGGTAATATTCATAAATGCATAATTTTCGTCCGTATCTTAATTTTTTTTTTTTGTCTGGTCTATTTTGCTAAGTGTTTTTTGTTTCGATTATTTGTGATTTTTCTTTTCCGTTTCTTGCCTATGTATATGTAAGTAGATAAGGGTAGATAGATGTAGATAGTTGTGGATAAATGTTGATTGTGTGGTTGGTTGGTTAATCAGTTCCGATAGGGTCCAGGGTACTGTACGATATATTCTCGGTGGAATGTCTGTGTCTGTGGCATTTCGCTACCATCCTAGCAGGTGCAGGCGGGGCAAACGGGCTTGTCTCCATCGATGGTGAAGGTCTGTGAGGTGATTGGGTTCTCGCAGCGGTTGCAGCGGAAGCAATCACGATGCCATTTGGCATTCATGGCCACAATGGCGCTGTCTGTGATCGGCTTCTCGCACTTGGCGCAGCGCACCGCAAACATGTCCTCGTAGTCCTGCTTGCAGTAGGCCTTGCCGTCGCGCTCGTAGAATGGACGATTCGATAACGGTTTCTTGCAAGCGCCGTCGCACACAAAGCAGCACTCGTGCCAATTCTCGCCCATCGCGCATATGGTCCGCTCCAGGATGGGCTTCTTGCAGGCGGCACAGGTGCTCGTATAGCGCTCGACAAAGCAATCGCTGCACACGGGCTCACCATCCTGAATATTGAATGTGGCGTCCTCGATCTGCTTGTCGCAGTGACGGCACAGGAAATGCTCCGGATGCCATGTCTTGCCCAATGCGGTGATCACGCGCTTGGTGATTGTCTCGTTGCACTTGTGGCAAATGATGCTCTTGTCCTTCTCCTGGATGCTCATATTGGCTGCTCTGATGGCGACGACGACTTCCGATTGGATTGCTACTGCAAAATTGTTGTCAACTCGATCGCACGCGTCCGCACAAAAGCTGGTCTCAATTTCGAATTTCGAAAACACGAATATACACGCTCACATACACACACACTCACACGCACGTACGTACTGAATTGGGCCTATATATATACATAGACGTATATATCGGAAAATAACTAACGTTGGCGTGTGCTGTTGTTTTTTTTCTTCGTAATTTTGATTTTTAAAAATATATATTTTGATATATATATATATATATATAGAGATATAAATTCAGAAGAAAACAGAACAAAGAAAAACGAGTTAATTTTGTGAGACTCAAAAACTAAATGAGACTTTTACAATATCTACACTCGCTGCTCTCTGTGAGGAATGAGCACAGCCTATTCTGTTCACTGAAGCAGTCCAGCTATATCAACATATGCTCAGGACTTCATTTTCAAAGCTTGCTTCGATCTGTAAAAATATGCCAAGCAGCTAAGGATTTTAATTTCTTGAAGAGTTGTTTATCGAAACAAAAATCTATTGCATAGATGTTCATACTTTTCAACCAATTGATATGAACCCTATTTATATTTTTCTTGTTTTGTTTAATTTGTATTAATACATATATTTATATAAGTAGATCATATTATAAAAGTTCCTATAGATCTGCCAAATTTAACTTTTGTCAGTCAATAAACTAGCATAGCCACATTATCAATGACCATCAACAGCATTCAAAATCCAAGCAACTTTTATCTTTTTATCAGCTAGAACCCTTTTTGCTTTATGCTAAGGTGCATAATGATCTTGGTATGGTAAAAATTCATATAAAGTTACTCGTTTATCCTCTATGCCCGTCAGTCTATGTGACCACATAGCTCTTGTACTACATTGAAACCTTACTTGTCATGTTTTTCCGATAGCTCATAGCTCTGTTTCGAGTGATCGATCAAAGTCGAGCAAAGCATAAGGTAAAATTTCTTATATGTATTATTATTATTAATACAAATATAATAATATCAAATACTATTTAAGTTTACACAAACTTTTTCTATGTAAATAATAAATTGTAAAACTATTTAGAAGCAAGATGAGACTGACCGATTCCCGACCAAAGCTGACTAGATTCCCTGACCACTTGTAGTCTTCCACTTAAAATAAACAGAATTCAACTAGATTTAATCTTTTGCCGATTTTGCTGCCTTGAAAGTTGTTGAACAAAAAATCTATTTTAATGGTCTGCTAAATACTCGAATAATCGGCAAAAAGAATCCGAAGTATTTGATTCATATGGCACAAAATGTCCACATGCTTCGCCCATTGAGCATATGCTCCCAAATGGATCCTTTGAACTTGTCCCACTAACGTGTGCATGCAATTAGAAACTGACGCAGCAATTAACGCATGCATTGCATATTTGACATGAAATGCTTTTAATAAAATAATTTAATCATAATTATGCAACTGGTAAGCTATGCTCCCGCCTCCGCCTGCTATTCCTCTGCAGCCCTTCAACAGCTCACGCACTCCAGCTGCATACGCAGACAGACGCCAGCGAGTGCAGAGCCTGACACAAATTCCCTTTCAACTTGCATAACAAGCTCTCGAGCGGGTCGTCCAAATGGCAAGCCAGCTTCTAGCCCGCGCCCCTCCACCCGCCCCTTGGCAATTTGGAATTCCTTGGAGCAGCAAATGAAATGGTGACATGTTCGCAGCAATCCTCGCGTTATGAGTGCCATTCAGGCCAAAAACAATGCCTCACTGGCTACGTGGCGTCCAGGGCAGCTATCAAGGCAAAAATAGCAACAAGTTGGGTCTGATGAACTAGGAAGTACTCTGCCATGGATATGAGTCCGAAGCTGCCAAAATTAAGAAATGCTTGCGAAGGAGCCCAACATTTTTCGTGTGGGATGTGCTTTATACATGTATTACCGACCAAATACTATACATAGCTTTGGAATGATATAGGAAAAAAGAAACATTTCTCAAATGCATATATACTTCGATTTCATGTCTCTAGTTTTTATAGTCCTTGAGCTATGACCAAAAAAGCAATCAGATTCAGTCAATGAGACGCTCTGAAAGTTTCAAGCTTGTGTCTGTAGCTAGAGAACAACTAAGATAGCTATGTATATATGATACATTAATATCCTTTAATAAAAATAACCCGCATTATCAGGTCTCTTGATCGATTGTCAATCAGATTGAATCAATAACTCATTACGAAAATCTCATCTAGAGCACCGTCGCTGGAGAACAGTTAAGATAATGTATCCATCCATGATACATTTCTATCCTACAATAATAATTTACTTTATATCTCTCTAGTCCATACTACCCTAGTTCGCTAATTTCTATGTGTTCAGGGTATAACAACAACCACAACAAAAGATCTGGCAAATTCCAGAGGGTGGCTATGTTTGGTGACTTCTCTGGCTTAGACTGGACCACACACCCACACAAGCACATACACACTCATATGTGTGTATGTGTGTGTTTTAATTGTTGTGCATGCGGAAGCGCCAAGTATTTTGCTTTAATTAAATTTTTTCATAATTTCTGATGAAACACATTGAATTCTTTTTTATTATTTTTATTAATTGCTCATATTTAGACGTTAGCTCACTTTTCTATGAAGCTACCCTTATGAGCTGCGACTTCATGAATTGCAGTGGTGGTTTCTCATTTCCTGTTGCTCAGAAGCCAATTTATAAATGGCTCGAACTGTAACTAATTTCGGTTGCATGCCTAGCGGAAACTTTGCACTGCTCATAAATTTAAAAAGATTTATAGAAATTATACATGAATACATGTGTATATAAATATGTTTATTAATATATGAAATAACCGTCATACATCATTAAATTTTATAGATAAATAACTAGTTAATTAATCTTAAACATTTTATAGTTTTATTTATTTTATTTATTTGTTTTCTTTATATATTTATTTTTATATATTTATATTTATATATTTATATATTTCTTTCCTTTTTATAGTCATTTAGTTTAATTAACATATTAAAAAATTGTACTTACAAATTTATATCAAGACTTTATTTTGTTATATTTTCTGTATTTTGCTATTAATTTAATTTTCTTAAAAATTTTTTCTTGGTATAATTTAATGCTTTAAATGTATTTTAAATATTTTTGAACAACTTTCTTAATTATTTATTTTCATTATATAAAAAAATTTAAACAATTTGGATTTATTATTATTTTTATATTTTAAATATTTTTATGCAATATATTCTATGAATTTTTAATGCAAACAAAGCATAGATTACCTTTTAATTTAATTTAATATTTATAATTATTTAATTATTATTTTTTATAAAACTAAAAATATTTATTTAATTTAAATTTATTTTACCTGAAGACAAAAATTTAATCATGAAACTCACATTGTGAGTAATAAGTGAAAAGAGAAATTTGTATTAGAAATTACCTAATGACCATCCTCATTCCACCTGCAAATTTTAGCGCACCTTTGTGTCTACTGCTCTGCTTCTTTCTCGCACTCTGTGTCCATCAGATAAAAATGTAAGTCAATCAGGCATCAAAGGTCCTTGATCTCATCAAAGTGGAAACTGCGAACCGTCCAGTGCATCGCAACGAGCCCACCGCCAATCGCCAATCGCCAATTAGTATTGACGGTCGCCAATTGAGGCTTTTAATTATGCAATAAGGGTTACGCGGTCGAGTCCTGGGACAGGACAGCGCATTGAACTTTGCAGCTGTCCGACTTTGGATAGAGTCGAAAACAAATTGGAAGGAAAAAGCATTTGACTTTAATTTTAAAGCTCAAGTTTTCTTTTTAATGAGGCACTTATAAATACATATATAAATATTACTAAAAATAATAATATTAACTACTCTATGCAAACATATATACAAAGAATAATGGATCTCTAACTCTATCTCTCTAATATGAGCGCCGATGCTTGTCCTTGTTGCTGGGCTTCTTCGAGGAGATGAGAGTGCGGCGTTTCAAACGCTTCAGCTTCGTCTTCTCACGCTTGCGCATCTTCTCCTGGGCCACCTCGACGATGGTGTTGCGGAGCTTTAGTCTGTATTTGATGAGGTGGTTCAGCTCAATGCCCAATCCCTGGTCCATGGGCGTCAGGTTCTCAACATTCTCGACATCATCCTCGTCATCCGTTAACATGGCCAATTGGCGTTCCGCCCACGCAGCATCGTCGTCCTCATCGATGCTCAGGTCCGGCATGTCAAGCTGCTGCTTGTGTTGGTGTTGTTCCTGCTGCTGCTGCTGCGGCAGATCCTGTTGCTTGAGCAGCTCCTCGGTGAGCAACAGCTTCGATGTGGCCCACTTGACCACCTGTTGATCCTTGAGCGCCATTTGCTGGCGATAGTTAAACAACTGCAAGGTGACATTTGCCTTAGGACACGCCTCCACTTCGTCCCTGGGAGACGCCGGGTCCTCCGCTGGCATGGGTTGGACCACAGCCACCGGCCTCTCGCAGGACATTTTCGTTTCCAGTACGTTGCCCATGCTGCGCTATCTTCGCTATCTTCTGTGATGATCTTTGTGCTTCGCCAGCTCAAATGCCACTGACAGCTGCAAACTTGTCAAACCCGATTTATATCAAATATTTATTTGTACCATATACGATATGGGCTGCAAAAAGGATTAGAAACGTTGGCAGGTACAATGGATAGACGCGAGCTACCTAGGCCTGCGGTCACAACATTTGGCAACACCTGGTCAGGGATTAGCGCACGCTGACCACCAAAAATACCCGAAATATGCGAAAATCTAACTTTCTTATAGACCAGTCCTATTTTATTGCTAATAGGGTATATTGTTATGCACGTGCATATCTCTATAAATTTTTGATTTAAGTATATGACATATTTCTTATGAATTTACTCAATATTCATACACCTAAGACGAGAGATGGAATACGGACACTAGTGGAATACAGATCTATTTTCATAATAAAATATAATACTACATAACTTCTCAAATAAGATGTGCTAGCAAAAATTATTATTTCTTTTAAGGAAAGCAAATGTTTACCAATAATCGAACCAAAACCAATTTATACAACATAACCTCAATAATTTTTCTAACAGGCCACTTAACTCAACCGCAGGTGTTACAATATATATAAACTACCTATTTACAATTAAATAACATATTTTTGAAATTTGACAAAATATGACACAACTCTTCAGTGTTTATAAAAATTATATAACCCAACCCTACCTAACCTAGCTCACAAGGTAAATTTCCACCAGAACTTGAGCTGAACGACTGTAAACTTACTTTGCCAAAAATCTTAGTTTATTTGACCTAAACTCTATTGCGTATACCTGAGCAACAAGTTGAGACACGCAAGATTTTGTTGGCTGTGGATATTACCCATTGGCCAGGTCAATTCTACCTGCTGAATATATAAGGTGCTTAACAATTGGCGAGCCACAGCATTCGCTTCTCAACTCCTGTTGGCCATGGACCGCAAGACGACGACACAATTGATGATGTTTCGCACTCCGGTGGGTGGTGAGAATCAGCTGTTCATCTTCAATTCGCCCATTGACTACACGGATCAGCAGCTGATTGTGTATCAGTGTTCGGGGATGCTGGAGGGCGAGAGTGGGTATTGTGTGGTCTATAAGCGGGATCATTACATAATCAGCAATCATCCCAACTATCAGAGCCCGACCAAGCGCAGCTTCCTCAACGAGTGCATCCGCCAGTTGTACATCATCAATGGGCTGGTGCACAAGCTGAACTGGGCGCCCAACACGTTGGTCTGCACTCAGCAGGAGCTGTGGCATCAGGTGAACATGTGCCTGCAGCCGGAGCGCTTGAGTGGGCGAAATGCCAGCCTCCAGCGTGTCAAGCGGCAGCTGTTCCGCGAGACGCAGCGCAAGCGCAAGGCGACGAGCAGCGTACGTGGCCAGGTGTGGGGCACACAGGTGTTCAACTTCAAGCCGATGCGCTCGAAGATCGGCAGGCGGCACATACGACGCGGCTACTTGACGGTGGCCCGGCAAATCGTACTCCAGCAGCTGATCCTTGAGAACGTGAAGCGTGAGATGACCGGCACATCGGCCATATGCCAGACGGTCATCAATGCCACCGAGGGCATCTACAACGTGAACGCGACAGTCATCAGCGACATCTGCCGCTACCACCAGAATGCTGCACGTCATCAGCCCACGGTCCAGCGCCGGCTGAACGAGGGGCAGCAGCGCATGCGCAGCAGCGAGGCCTGCCAGCTGACGCAGCGTGCCAAGCGCCTGGAGGCCATGTTTCTGCACGAGCAAGTGCGTCGCGCTGGCCAGAATCATCAGCTCATACTGGAGGAGTCGGTGCGTTCCATTTACTATGCCAAGCAGCTGTTTCGCCTGATCGAGGATCACGAGGAGTTCGTCTACACGGACAAACAGATTATGGGCCGCAGCTGTTGTTAAGTTGAGTTTCAAATTCTTTGTAGTATTGTATAAAAATATATAGACAATGTCTTTTATTATAAGCAGTAGCGTAAATAGTAAATAGAACAAAAATAAAATGCATTAGAAACGTAAAACAAATTCGATTTGTTGTTATTCTGTTGATAGATTGCAGGTTGAATGAGCTGCTCCTTGGTTAGGTTTCCGTCTTTCGCTGTTCTATCAGCTGCGAGTGCACGTCCATCAGGCTCTGTAAAAGAAATTTTAAAATATTTAAAATACATACATAAAAATCCAGTTCTTTATCAAATGTAGTCTATGGCGCAATTGTGATTCCTAGTTGTATAAATCTGTAGTATGTATCTGACATTTATAAACAATGACATATTTAGTAGATCTTGACTTCTTAGCAAATTTTCTCAAAAGCTAAAAGAAATAAATAGCGATAATAAATATTTTGATCAATTACTTAATAATCTAACTACGATTATATTTTTAATTAATATTATCAATAATTTTTTCTCTTTCCTTAAAATAAACTAACAAAACTGTAGCTTTAGCTCAAAATTTTTATGAAAATATTGAAAGAAATACTATGAGCCGAACTTTGATACATTTATCATTCATTATCAACAATATACAGCCTTAACAATATCTCACTTTTATAATAAATATACTTATGTCTTCAATATTTATATTTAAGTTATCCTATCATAATTCCACACAACATCAATATCTGTATATAGCGACACAAAAGTTCCTGAATATTCCCAGAATTTACTTTTAAATTCTAGATCTTTACATTTTAGCTCAGTAATTTAGTTGATAAATCTGAGTCATCTAATATTATTTAAATAAACTTTCTTATTTAATAAACTTTCTTCGCATTTAAACTAATAATTAAGATTTTCTCAAGCATTTATTATACTTATATTTTTTATACTTATAGTTTAATTTCAATTTATTTTCAAAAACATAAAAATTTCAATTCATTTTTAGTAGATTACTTAAATTAAGTACAATCTTTATACATATAATAAATGATACTAGACACATGTGTATACAGATTTGCTTTGGTAATCGCCAGTCTCTTAATTCGTTCATTTATTATCAAATTATAATATCATAAAGGCACAATCATTGTGGACTATACTTTACACTTTGTATAAGCTTCTGGGGAGTCGGCTGCATTTGCATCTCTGAGAATGCCCTGTGAAATGGTGAGAAAACAAATGCCAACCAGACATTAGCGGAATCTACGTTCCGGAGTCATAAAACTAAGTAAACCCGGTATTAAGGAAAAGCAAAAGCAAATACGTGGTTAATATGCACCAATTGACTCGAGTCTAAACAAAACCAACACCTTGACACGCCATATCCATTATCACTACAATTGCACATGCGCCGCGCATACCTTGAAATATTTAACCGTCTTGACACGGAGCTCCAGCGTGGCATCCTCATCGCAGATCATCAAGGTGTTCGCATGCTGCTGGAAGGCGCTGACCGTCCACATGTGATTGACGCCCTCCTCGATGGCCTTGTACAAGGCGAATGCTTTGTGGGCGCCCGTTATCAGGATCATCACCTCTTTCGAGTCCATGACCGTGCCCACGCCCACAGTCAACGCCTGCTTGGGCACTTTGCTCATGTCGTTATCAAAGAAACGGGCATTCGCTTCCAGCGTATCCTGCGCCAGGGTCTTGACACGCGTACGCGACACCAACGAGGAGCCCGGCTCATTGAAGGCAATGTGCCCATCGGGTCCGATGCCGCCAATGAATAGCTCCACACCTCCCGCTTCCTTAATCTGCTGCTCGAACAAATTGCACTCGGCGACCAAATCCTTCGCATTGCCATCCAGAATGTGCACATTCGCCGGCTCAATGTCAATGTGCTTGAAGAAATTGTGCCACATGAAATAGTGATAGCTCTCGGGATGATCACGCGGCAGGCCTAGAAGGTAGTTTTGGCTTTAGTTATACACCCAGGTAAATGATAGGTGAGAATCGCAGCCACTCACCCACATACTCATCCATATTGAAGGTTTTCACATAACGAAAGGAGACCTTGCCCTGCTTATGGAAGTTAATCAGTTCTTTGTACATCCCCAATGGGGTGCTACCTGTGGGCAAGCCCAAAACAAAGTATCTAAAGAGGGAGAGGTAAAGAAAGAAAGAAAAATATGATAATAAGAGTCTGTTGATAAAACTTCTCCACTTACTTATCGGGTCCCGGATTGAAGTCGTTGATCCGCTTAGCCACATATTTGGCCGCCCAACTACCCACCGATTTGCTCGTCTCCAAGATAATTAAGCGCATTCTTAATATTTAGTACTGAAAATGTGAAGTGTGCACTAAGTAAACTTATGGTTTGTGTGGGGCATTATAAAATATATTGATAAGGACTGAGTAGATCTAGCCTACATATTAATAATAGGCAAGTACTTAATATGGTACCCATAGATTAAAAATTACAGTGTGCATTCAACAAGATGAATAGTCATTATTAAATTATAATCTCGTATATAGATATATATTTATTTGTTTTACACTTGAAATTAAATGATTTCGTGCTACAGCTGACGTAATTTATGAACTATACACATTTACGTTAACTTTTGACAAACAAAGTTTCTCTTTATCGTTACGTTTCACTGCAAGCTACTTTTATTTAAGCACAGATCAATGAAAAAATTAATTACGCCCTCAAGCAATAGTTCAACTTATCGAGCGCTCACAGTAGTCAAACACTTTCGTTCTTAATTTCTAAAGAGCGAGTGAGACAGAGACATTCGCACTTGAATTCCAATGGGGACACTTGAGGGTCGACAAGCAGCTCACCTCCGTTCACCTGCACTGTGTTACCGTAAATAACTTTTTGAAACAAAAACTTAACGTCGTATTAAACAATAAATAATAAAGTCACACACTAGCAATCGCAACGATAGCGCTCAGCTCTGGTCGGATGTGGAGTGTACGAATCGCCGACGAGACTGGCAAACAAGCTGTGAGCGCCGCTTCAATTTGGCTGTCAATTTATATACAATACACATATTGTGTGGAACGCGCTCTTAGTGTTAAAGAGAATACGGTTAGCTGCAATTCAAACAACATAACCTTGAGATACAATTTGCAAAAGGCGTTATCACGTTAAAAAAAAAAAACTCCAAGGGGTGCAACGCAGTGATCCGCGGCTATCAACTGCAGCGTCACTTTAGCAGCAACAGCAATTGCCAACTAAAAGAAAAGAGACAAAAATACTCCAAAACGATAGCGTTTAATACGCAGCAACAACAGTTGAATGAACTTGCTGCTGTCAAAGTGAGTGTAAATTTGTGAGCGGGAGAGTTGTTCATTTTGAGTGGCTTAACATACTGGTGTTGCCAGACTGTTCACATAATTGAGTGTGTTTTACGATGCCATGCATACATACAAATGCCTAAAAATAACTCAACATAGAATAAGCGGCGAGAAATATTAGAAAATAACTCAGCAGAGAAATATTAGAAAATATATCCTACAACAGGGCCATCAGTTTTCAGCAGCAGCTTGAAATTATTCGTTATGAGTACAAAACACTATTTTATGAAACATAATTATTTATTTAGCAGTTACATGTAGTCTTAAGTTTAAAATTTAAATTTTAGTTTTCTTTTAATTTCTTTGCTTTAGAATATGTTGTAGTTTGACATGGACACACCCACGTTGAGCTGCTTTTTCTTGTTGCAGGAAAAACCGGTTCAGCCGAAAATCTATGATAAAAAAAAACATTCTATTGAGCACCTATGGGAGAGCGCACCAATCAAATTCCAACTCGTTTTAAAAATATATTGCTAGGCTCTTTTCTCACACAGCTATTTTTGCGTTCTTTTTTCTTCTTTTCTTAAATTTTTTAGAATATTTCTCAATACAAAAAATTGCTTAACATAAGATACACATACATATATGCATATGCATGTGCATGTGTGTACTGAGGAGAAAGGGAAAAGGGAAGCTCAAATTTGTAGTTACAGTTTGTAGTTTTACCGATTTTTATTGATATTTCGTTGAATTACTTTTAACATGAGCTTGTCGTTTTTGTTTGTTTTTAATTCTGCTTATAAAACTATATATATATTTATATGTATGTATATTTATTTATATTTATATGCTGGAGCCGTGGCTCATACAAATGCATCGGAAATGCTGTCAACTCAGCATTCGCAAAGCACTTGAATGCACAAATACAAAAATGATAAGAATTGAAAATTTCTTGATTTTTTTCTTTGTAAATTCTATGTGGCATACAGAAAACCGAATTTAAAATATACCAAATAAAGTTTACAAAAATTATGCTTATTGTTTAAAATTAAGATTGTACGAAGGTGGGGTGGGGTTGGTTGGAATTTGTTTTTTTTTTCTTTCCGAAACATGTAACGTAAATTAAATATTTGTCATTCAGATAAACACAAAGGGGATTAGTAATCGTTGAGGGAAAGAATGAATATGGTGGTGGAAAAGCACAGAAACTAAATAATATATTGAACATGTGGAAGAATCGTAGACATTTAAATTGAAATGGAACTGCTGTTGCTAGCAAGTTTTACAATTGAATAAATTATTAGTGGTGCTGCTTGGCTCTGGTTTCGTTCGCCTTTTTCTTCCCTCTCTTTACTTGGGGTAGCCACAGAAAAATTAATAACTTAGCTGATAATATATAATTCCGTCTGTTTTTTGTTTTTGTCTGTTTCTGTTTGTTTGTTGGTTTGTTTGTTTGTGTGTGCTTGTCTGTCTGTGTCTGCATATGTGTGAATATATTATTATCTTTATGCTTGGCTGTCTATTACATAATCGCGCACTTCTCGTTCGTCTGCAGGGGATCGCCCTGCTGATGGTACAGCTGCTCGTTGCCATCAACGGCGCTGATGCTGCGACGGCGACTGAGGCGCGAGGATGACACATGTGTGGAGACAATACGCTTGTTGCGTTCCATATTGGCAACCGTTTCGCCTTCGCTATTCAACAGCGCCATCTTCGTATTATCGCCAGTCATCCACTTTTGTTGCTTCATCACTATGTTCGATGGCGGCTCGTGTGTGGCCCGCGAATCCGACGACCAAACGGTCACTGTGCCATTTGGTTCGATTTTCACGGAACGATGGAACTTATAGGTTGTCACTGGTCCATTATCGTTAAGCGACCGCTGCAGCTGCCAGCCGCCAATGGAGACCTCTTCGGTGCCCTTGTTGTACAGCTTAACGTATTTGCCATCGGCGTCGATCTCTTTGATTTCCACATTGCCCTTAGCACTAGCCGACACATAAAAATCGGATACGCTATGATCCTCAGACTCCTCAACAGCGGCACGTTTGCGCTTCAAACCGCCCGACGGTGTGCGCCGAGAGGGCGTGGCACGAGAACTACGCAACGATTGACTGAACGATTGCACCGTAGCCGAATTCGCGGGCGTTATATTCAAACGCGCCTCCTCACCCACGAGCAACTTGTCGTAGGCGGCGATTTCCAAGTCCAAAGAAACCTAGAATAAAGCAAAATAGTTATTAGTTGAGAGAGTTGACTGAATTGTATATATATCTACCTTGATGTCCATTAAATCCTGATACTCCTGCAATTGTTGTGCCATCTCCTCGCGTAAGCGATTCAGTTCCTTATCGTACATTGCAATGTCATTTGCATGGCGTTCGCGCTCATGGTCCAGCTGCTGTTCCAGCTCCCGTATGCGCGTGTTCAACATGGCATTAGCCGCCTCCATATCGTTGAGCTTGGCATTGAGTCCATCGATACGAATGCGTGAATTGCGCAGCTCCTCAATTGACTTGTGCGTTGAGCTGTGCGTGCGAGCCGCCGCTTCTTGTAATGAACGTATCTTAGCTTCATACAAGGCCTCGATATCATCGCGATTGCAGCGCATTTGATCCTCATACTGGTTGCGCAGCTCTTGCAGCGATTGCTGCAACTTCGCCTCATACTCGGACGAGAGACGGCCATCGATTTCACTGTATTCAGTTTGGCGTATGCGTCGAGACTCGTTAATCTCCTGAACGTGCACCTGATCTTTAAGCGACAGCTCTTCACGCAAACTTTGAATATTGTTCTCCAGATCCACACGCGCTAGAGTCTCCTGTTCCAGATTCTTGCGCGAGTCCTCAAGCTGCTTGCGTTGACGATCCAGTTCCTTGAGAGCTTCATTCAGGTCATCAATGGCTTTCTTACGATCGGCATTGGCCTGGTTATATTTATTACTCAGCTCACTGGCACGCGACTCGTTCATTCGGGCATTAGCTAAAATGACATTCAGCCAATTAATGGAGGGTTGAATATTGTGATTGATGTGCACTCACCCTCAGCAGCGCTGCATTCCTTCGTCTTCCTGTCTAGACGGGCAGTCAACTCTTCGTTCTCCTCCCACAGCCTCTTGGTATCAATCTCTAAACGCGCACGTTCTCGTGCCAGCTCATCGAGCATACGACGTGCCTCTAGCAGTTCCGTCTCATAGATACTCTTAATGTTGGTCGTCTCTTTGGTCACGGTGTCACGTGTGGTCTGCACCTCAATCGTAAGACGTGCGTTCTCCGTCTCCAAGTTGCGAACGCGATCAATATAGCAGGCCAGACGATCGTTCAAATTCTGCAGCTCGACCTTTTCCACCAGGCGCGAATGGCGTGTGGGGCTGGTCGCCTGCTGCTGCTGCTGCGATTGCGACTGCGACGACGACGCCGATGTCTGTTGCTGTGGCCCAGATGACGGCGGCCGAGGGGTCGAGGTGCTGCCGGGCTGCGGCGTCGCGGTGCCAGCGCGTCGAGTTTTAGACGACATTGTTAACGTTCACTTGCTACTGACGATATATATTCATAAAAAATATGCAAATAAATTGAATTCTAAAGCAGACTTTAAACTGACCTTATTATGCTTATGCTTATAACTCGAAATATTTTTGCGCGCAATCGCTTGCTTTAGGCTGATAAAATTCCAAACAGAAACAGAAACAGAAATATCAAAAGAAATATAAAAACTCTTCAAACACGAGTGTATAAAGAGCGCAATGAAAACGAAACGAGTTTCTCTGCTCTCATCGCTCTTTGAGCGTAACACAAAAATTCACTCAAGCGACTGTACTAAAGCGAACGAACGGAAAAAAAAACAATTGAGTGACTTTTGCGGCGTTTTGTTTATGGGCGTGGGGTAAAAATACGCGGGTGCGGCGGCGAAAGGCCCGTTATATATGTTAAATACAAACACAAGCACTCAATCCAAAAATGCTTTTAGCTGCCGCACATACAATTAATAGCATGGAATTGCACAATATGGCGTTTTTAATTCACAATTTGCCCTTTTACAGCGGCATTTGGCTGCAGCTGCAGGGGGGCAAGCGCAATGGAAACTTTGGGAGGGAATCTGAAGCATTGAGACTAAATTGCACTTTTCACTTGATGTGTTTGCGTATTTAAACAATAAGTAGTTTGCACACTTTAAACAATAAGTAGACTTACGTGGTTATTGTAATTTATTTAAGCGATGCACAAGTGTAAGGCAAAAAAATTGTATTCGCTCTTAGAAAACGCGGCCGACGTGAAATTTCTGGTGAGTAGACTGACGCTGGCACTATCGATATTTTATTGCATCAATTGTAGCTATCGTGAATACTCAATGCAACTCTGATTGTAATTCAAGCCGTAGTATTGTTTAAGTCGTCATTTGCAAATCCAATACAATTGTAATCTTCAAAAATATATTTTTTAGTTGTTGATTTAAATTGTACTACATTCTTCTGAAACTATGATATATGTTGATATATCGAATATGTGATTGTCACTTCTATCGAAAAGCTATATCGATAACAATAGCAAAAACTGTTCTTTACATTATCGACGTCACGTTCAATGTCAGTACAACTTTTTCAATCTAGCTAAGGAGTATTTATTACTTTTGCCAAAAAAAAAAAAGAATAAATAAGTAAAAAAAACGTACAAAGGTAAGACATTATGGTCAATGTGCACAAGAAAAGCAAACTTCAGGCTAAATATATTTCGCAAAATGTTGCAAGCCTTCGCTGTGTGATTCAGTATACTGAAAAACAAGATGGCGGAGAGCATATGCCGGTTTGGCATACAAAAACGCGGCATTTACAACGACACATACAAAAGTATTTCATTTACAAGAGCCATTTTTTCTTACAGAATCGTAAAACAATTCTTGCTAGGCATATACGCACAGAGTTAAGAAAAAAGCAGAAAAATGGCTGATAATGACGATCTTCTCGATTACGAGGATGAGGAGCAGAACGAGACCACTGCTGTTGAGAACCAGGAGGCTCCAAAGAAAGATGTTAAGGGTACTTATGTATCCATTCACAGCTCCGGTTTTCGTGACTTCTTGCTAAAGCCCGAGATTTTGCGTGCAATTGTTGATTGTGGTTTTGAGCATCCATCAGAAGGTACATAAATCGTACAGTTGTGCGTATGAACAGTTGTTCATGATTCTATTACATTTGCAGTTCAGCATGAGTGTATACCGCAAGCGGTGCTTGGCATGGATATCCTATGCCAGGCTAAGTCCGGTATGGGCAAGACGGCAGTTTTCGTGCTTGCTACATTACAGCAGCTGGAACCGTCTGATAACAACACCTGCCATGTTTTGGTCATGTGTCACACACGCGAGTTGGCATTCCAAATAAGCAAGGAGTACGAACGTTTCTCCAAATATATGCCCACAGTTAAGGTAAGTTAGATTATGCCATAATTTATTCGTGAGACTTGTTTCAGTTTAGTTTGTTTTTCGATAGGTTGCTGTATTCTTTGGCGGTCTAGCGATTCAAAAGGATGAGGAGACTCTGAAGAATGGCACACCCCATATTGTTGTTGGTACACCAGGTCGCATTTTGGCACTCATTCGTAATAAGAAGTTGAACCTGAAACACTTGAAACACTTTGTTCTGGACGAGTGCGACAAGATGTTAGAGCAACTGGGTAATTATTAAAAAATATATAAAATATATCCCTATATTGCTAACACTCGGTTATATTTGCTTCTAACAGATATGCGTCGTGATGTGCAGGAGATTTTCCGGAGCACACCACACGGCAAACAAGTTATGATGTTTTCCGCCACTTTGAGCAAAGAGATTCGTCCCGTTTGCAAAAAGTTTATGCAAGATGTAAATATCTACGTCGTACTACTACTACTACTATTACGACCACTAGCTATAATATATTGCGAAATTACGCACGCCATTCAAATCAACCTAAAAACTACCAAAAACAATTGTCACACTCTTTGCCTCATAAAAGCCAGACAAACCTATTGCAATTGGTTTAAACGCGTTAATTGTAAACGAGAATCCTGAATTGATTCAATGTTACCGATATCTTGATCATAATTACTAAACACCATTTTCTAAATGGTTAATCGCATAAATTGAAAACGAGTACGCGCTACAAGCGTATAACAGCCTGATAAATCCTTATCCATAACTATCTAAAATCATTTTCTAAATGGTTAAACGCGTTAACTTCAATCGAAAACGCGCTAAATGCGTATAAAAGATGCCGAAATTTTGCCCATAACTGCCAGAAACCCATTTTTTAAATGGTTAAACGCGGAACTTCAAACGCCAATGTCAAACCTTATCAAAATATAATAAAAAGCACGCATATTTAAAATCGCAATGCAACCAACATATCAAAATCGTATACAAATTTAAAAAAAAAAAAAAAAAAACTACCACTGTCAAATCAAAAAGTCAAAACGGATAATGTGTCCGATTCATCTGCTGATACGACTGATGCCCACATGGAGCGCTAGCTATCCTGTCGCACAACATTTTGAGGTGATGATAGACGCTACAGATGCGCAGCCGTGGCCGCAGCAAAGAACAACAACAACATTTAAATACCCGTACATACATACTCTAGTTGATGATGATGGTTTTTAGCGTGGCCGTATGTAGAATTTGTAGGCGTACCTTAGCTCTTAAGTTGCAATTCGTATTTGTCAATCATAATTGTTTTCCTCTTAAAATGCAAACAACACCCATTTCATTTTATTAGCCCATGGAAGTCTACGTTGACGATGAGGCGAAGCTGACGCTGCACGGCTTGCAGCAGCACTATGTCAATCTGAAGGAGAACGAGAAGAACAAGAAGCTGTTCGAACTGCTCGATGTGCTCGAGTTCAATCAAGTAATATCATTGCACCCTGTCCCCGCAATCTATAACTGCTACATGAGATATACTAATTTGGTTTTATTTGCTCTTCAGGTCGTTATCTTTGTCAAGTCCGTGCAACGTTGTGTGGCCCTGGCTCAGCTTTTGACCGAACAAAACTTCCCGGCCATTGGCATTCATCGCGGCATGAATCAGGATGAGCGTTTGAATCGGTATCAGCAATTCAAAGACTTCCAGAAGCGCATCCTGGTGGCTACCAATCTTTTTGGCCGTGGCATGGATATTGAGCGTGTTAATATTGTATTTAACTATGACATGCCCGAGGATTCGGACACCTATTTGCATCGTGTGGCTCGTGCTGGGCGATTTGGTACCAAGGGCCTGGCCATTACCTTTGTCTCCGATGAGAACGATGCCAAGATACTTAACGAAGTACAGGATCGTTTCGATGTCAACATTAGTGAACTGCCCGAAGAAATTGACCTATCTACATATAGTAAGTTCTTCAACGATTTCAAATTTTGGTTTTTGATTTAACCAGTTCTAATGTTTATTTTTACAGTTGAGGGACGCTAGTCACAGCGCATGGAGATATAAAATACTTAACATATGACAAAAGATACCAATTTTTTATAAACTTTACTTTATAACTAATAAAAATACAATCCCATCAATGTGTTGATGTAGAATAATAAAAGTCAATTCATTATCAAGAATAGTATTTGTAGTGGATAAACCAGAGAAATTTAATTGGTCTTTATATAGCGTTCATGTTTTACTTGCAATTTTCAAAAGAATCTCAATCTTAATTTTAATCATGAACAATAATTTAATATTACAAATTAATATTATTTAAAGAATTGTTTTCACATTTGAAATATTAGTTTTATTCTAAGATTATGGATTCTCTATAATCTATTCAATTTGCAATCATTTCATACAGAGCACATCGAAAAAAACGTTGGAAAATGTAATAAAATTGAATATATAAAGAAAATACGTAATCCAATCCTTTTGTTTGCTGGTCCAGTTCATTTTTTTCATTCTGGGTCCGTTTTGGGACATGCGCAAATCGCCTTGAGTTTCCGGCTGTTGTAGGGTTACTAAAGGGCAGGTCCTTGAGCGGGCACGGGGGCTGGATTACGTGCGGTGGTTGTATAAAAACGAAAAACAGAAGAAGAAGCTCAGAGTTAGGCCAAACAATGTGAAGAGCAAATTGAGTAATTCAAAATGTTATTGAAAAAATATGTGAAAACGCGTCGCAAGGTGAAGATTCTGTTGCTGGTGACGATTGTGGCGCTCATTGTGATCACCTGCATCATTTTGCTGGGCAGCTCGGGGCCAAATGGTTCGACCATTGAGCGTTTGCTGGACGAACGTTTCATTGCGCGCGCCTATCAGCCGCAGTCGGAGCAGCTGCAGCAGCCCAAAGAGCAGGCTGTGGCCTTGCTGCAGCCCCATCGGGAGAATGGCGTCATTGTGCCGGAGAAGTATGACGAGCATAAGATCAAGGCGCGCATCATGCAGAATCGCCTGCAGCAAGTGAAGCAGCAGCAGCGGGACAACGAGGCGGAGCAGTCGCGCACCACAGTGGATGCTCTGACCACGGCTGTGCACATTTTCTATACGGCTCCGGTGCCGTGGTACAAGTCCAAGAAACCGCCACTGCCGCAGCCAGAGCATCCAAATGAGGTGGCTTTGCCGCTGACCACCCCAAAGCCCGTTAAGATTCTGAACACCGCCTTCTATCCGGCTTTGGGTCTGTATAAGCCGAGTGCCAAGCTGCTGGGTCAGCATTTTGAAAACATCCGCAACTGTGGCATTGGCGTCATCATACTTAGCTTTGTGCGGCCCTCGGATCCGGCGCTTCTGCATCAAATCCTCGAGCTGGCCCCACAGCATAATCTCAGCGTCACCTTTGAGCTTAGCGTGGCCGGCAATCGGACGTTGGACTTTGTGCGCCAGCAGCTACAGGAGATTGCGGCATATGTGGACCTCCCAGGCTTCTATCACGTATATAGTCAATCCCGTGCAGCGTTGTTGCCCGTGTTGTATGTGAGCAATGCGTATAAACTAAGCGAGAGCCTGGGTCGTCAGCTGTGCCGGCCCACAGCTCAGGAGCTGGCCGAACAGCTGAATGTGCCCAAAAACGTGGGCGGACTACGTCGCGTGCTGGATGCACTGTTCATTGGGCACATAAGGTAGGATCGACATCGTATTAGGTCTTTCCCCGTTCTAATCAACGTTTTCCGTTCAGGCTTAAGAGTCATGCGGATGTGCTGCGTCGCTTGTGCTTCGATGGTTTCTACAGCAAATTGCCAAGCAATGGCGCCGTCTTTGCCAGCACCTGGAAGAACTGGTCATATCTCAAGTCCTATGCGCTGTCCTACAAAATGTTGTTCGTGCCAACGGTGGGTCCGGGCTTTGCGGAGCGCAATAAATTTCCGCGACACGGGGATATACAACGGCACAGGAGCAACGGGCGGGTAAGTGGCAGCGGAACTAGGGCTGGGTAATAAATATACCCTGTAATTGTTGTACATGTCCGAGTGTGGGTATGCTTGCAAAACATGTAACATGCCAAGAAGAAACACATACGGCTTTGTACATCAGTTCTTTTAAGAGCGCTGGGAATAGGGCAGACTTGTCCAATCTCATTTTGCTAAAATCAATAGATATAGAGCATGCCTATATTACAGAAAATAAGCATGAGATATTAAAGATTACTTTTATTGTAACAGTAGAACTATCGATAAATATCGATATATAACTTCAATACATATGCATTTATTACTCAATAACAACATATTATAGGGTAACTGCTAGTCGGGCAGCCACGACTTCGACACACTTAATTGCTTTCATTTAGCTAAATATTTGCCATTTCCATTTACAGTACTATGGCGTTGCCTGGCGCACAGCAATATTGAACCATGTGGGATTCATCAATATAGCCAGCTACAACAATTGGCCTGATGGCAGCCAAATTGAGGAGGTGGTGCCACGTGCCGGCTTCCTTGATTACAATCCCGGTTCGCGTACCAAGTATCTGGATCTGACGGCCCACTGGGTGGGTAACTTCTTGAAGACGCGCCAGGAGGCGGCGTCGGCGGCAGCGGGTGCGGTGCTGAACTGTTATGAGCTGCTCAATAACACGATTTGTTGAGCCAGACGGTTTATGCGTGCGCAATTCGTGATCGAACTCAGGTCGCGAACAAACTCATATCGTCGATTCAATGTGTTGCCTTACCCCGTGGAGCGGCCTCCTCCATTCGGTGTGCGTTTACTTTAAATGCAATCAATTGCAATTGCCACTCAATTACTTTCTTAACTGTTAACAAGTCTTCTACTACTTATATATGCCTATATAGCAACCAGAACAATTATCTATATATCTGCCAAAAACATAAAACTCTATTTAAAGTGAAAGCATATATATATTATATATATTTAGGTAACGATTAACTAGGGCCTGGTCGTATAAAGCAGCGCCAAATTATTTTAAATTTTTTCTAGAATTCGATTAGTACTACTAACAACATCAATAACTATAAAAACTAAAACAATATCATCAGCCATGCCATATTATATACATTTATATACATATATAGAAAATGTAGCAAGAATTAACTATTTGTTAAACGAAAATATAAAACAAAAGCTTATTAACACTTGTTAAACGAAAGGTACTTAACAAATTTTATCTTTATTACACATACAGTATAAATATATTAAAACATATGTAATTACATTAACTAAGCTTTAATAGATTTACTAGTGCGAAACGAAAAAGAATAAAAAAGAAAAACAACATTTATTATCATATAAAACGATACAGGACTTTCTTTCGTGTAAACGTTAATTTGCGTAGACAATGTTTTTACCGTTATAAGTTCCGTTACCGACTTATAGCTTATATTTTCGTATCATCAACAAACAAGAAACTAATATACCCTTCTTCCTTTCCGAAATAGAGTATTTCCCTTAGTGACAGCCGCTGTCAGAGACGGCAACAATTGCTTGACAAATTAAATTATGTCTCAGGTAAGATCAGGTATTTACCTCTCCAAAGAGCACCCGAAGCGTCAGCCCAAGCCACAGGCACCCAAAGGTTGCTGCTGCAAGCGCTCGCAATGCATCAAGAACTACTGCGATTGCTATCAGTCCATGGCCATTTGCTCCATCTACTGCAAATGCGTTGGTAAGCTCAATTGGCAGCTGAATCAATGGGTCTTCAAATATCCCATATCCAATGTCCTGCAGGCTGTCGCAATACTCAGGAGCGGCTGGCGGTGGCGACGCCGCCTAAGAAAACTGCATTGGCGGCCAAACGGGAACGAGCCGCCGCTCTAAGTGCCAAGGCAGCGGCTGCGGCCGCCAAGGCGGGCATCAATATCCATTTGAAACCGGCTCCTGGCTCGGCTGCTTTTGCTGGACAACAATTTGGGGTGGGTGCTCCGCCACCCGCTGCTGCTACGCCGTCACAAATCCTACAGCTGCCCGACCTGGATATTGAGACCATCATCACATTGCCACCACCAAATGTGGCTTCTGCTGCTACAGTCAAGAAGCTGCAGCTGCCACCGGCAATGGGGCAATCGCTCTTCACCAGTCAGCCGTTGACGCCACCAAAGGAGGTGAATATGTGCAAGCAGCCAGTGAATGTGGCGCTGCTCGAGTGCGTCCTAGTGCAAGCTGCTGAAGCGGAGGAGCTAGGCCTCACCGAAGTGCAGGTGGGCAAACTAATACTCCACGAATTCTCGCGCGGGCTGCAGGCCATCATAAAGGTCTATGAGGCTTGAAAATAGATTTACTTGTTTGCTTTTATTTACAAAATATACAAAATAACTTATAGACTATAATTCGAATTCTTAATGAAATATATAACAATAAATGTATTTAACTGGTCAAAATAAATTCATTTTACAGATAGATTCATTACGTATTTGAGATACTTTAGAGGCTTATAAATGCATTTATATATATCTTAGAATATTCTCTACCAGTCCAGCGGCTGAAAGATCAGCTCAGTGGCCAGCATGTCATAGCTATCCTTGACCTCTGCGCCGTCTGCTGCAGAGGACACATTCTTGTGCCGTTCCAGCGGCAGATCACTGTCCGTATCGCTGTTGCTTTCCGTTGAATCGCCGCCATCCGCATCGTCGCCCTCCTCGTTGAGACGACGTCGCTTGGATTTCGGTCCGGATTTTGTTTTGTACTTTTGCCAGAAATGCGCCGGCTGTGCAAAGTCCGTCAAATTGGCAAAGCGCATTGTCATGGCACGGCAGAATTTATTGAACTCCCGATGCAGATCAGAGCTCATATAATTTCGCAAATTGCGATGAATTTCCTCCACGTAGCGCAGACAGCGCTCCAGTTGCTTGAGCTGTTTCAAAGGGGGAGAAAAAGGAGTCAGAGCTGGTTATAGTTCAAAGATCATTGACTCACCGGCTCTTCGCCCATTTCTCGTTTTCGTGCGCCTCGTCCACGTCCCCTACCTGCCGCATTATCAGTTGCTGGTGACTGCTCTGCCGGTGTAATTGGAGCTGGAGGCGGTTCTTCCTCATGTGGGGTGTCATCGTCTTCGCCTTCGCCCTGGCCTGCGCCCTGTTGCCACTTGCTCTTGGTACAAAAGCATATTCGACGCATTATAAAGAGTAGATCGATGACAACTTCCAAGGCATTGGGCAGTTCAATAAATGACGCATCCTTTGTTTTCTCTGCAAGATTATAAATGAAAAATATATTGAGATTTAAGTGCGATCCCACCAGCTTACCAGCTAATAGCTTAAGCTGTCCAAAGTATAATAAGAGCGTATTTTCATCTAATGCGGCGAGAATGTGATTATATAATAGTCGTCGGAGTTTTCTTTTATTTGGTCCTTTTAATGGCGACTTGAAGCCCGCTTCCAGGCGAACCGATCCGGTTAGAAACGCCTGATCATTCAAATCGAAGGGAATCTCCTTCAGACAATGATGAAACAGCGACTTGTCATACAGTTTCTTATAACGTATAAAAAATGCATCTGCCTCGCGTGCCACCTCGATGCTATCATCGACCAGTCCAGCCAGCAGAGAGACTAAAATGGAGCCCTTCAATTTAATATTGCCAGCCAGAATGACGTCCTTGACACAGCGATAGGTGCGCACGCGTGTTGTCGCGTATTTCGAGGACAATTTGACCAGTATGCATTTCATGTTGCTTTCCAGAATTGTGGGATATTTCTTGCCCAGATCGTTGAGGCAAATCAGCGTGCTGTTAATCAATTGGGGTCTGTCATTTTTGCTCAGTATTTGGCCATACATTTTGGCCACCTTATATGCTAGATCATTGTCTCGTAGGGAGAGCCGTCCTGCTATCACAACCATCCAGTTCATCATACGTTCGTTATCCGTATCGAAACTAGATTCGTTCAAGCTCATGCACAATTTCACATAGCCGAGCACAAAGTCGATGATTTTCTCATCCGCTTCGTGCGGTATCATCACAATCAGTTCGCTGTAGGTAGCCAGCAACGAGGCCATTCGTATGTGATCCGTTTGAAAGTTTTCCATGCATTCCTTGGTCGCAGCCGTCACATCCTCTAGCAACTGTACTTGCCAATTCTCAACGGACGCACTATTCTGCGGCGCCTGGCTATGCGACAGTTGGTCGATATGATGCAACAGCAGCATTGCAGGGGAGATCACTTCCAGCCAAATGCTGCCCGTGCTCATCAGGGAGAGCAGACATTTAAAGAGCTGATTAAGCGATGCTTTCGAAAAGTTGGACAGACAGTAGATGATCAACTGAAGTGCCAAGACCTGATTAGACTTCATATTGTACGACGAGAGGCGATCAAACGTTGGTATAATCGAATCCAAATTGTTTGTAATGCGACTAGATATGAGAAGAAGTAGTGTCCATGCTTCCGTTGCCATGGGCGTATTCAAGTGTGAGATAATTGTATTTACCAATGTTGGTCTATAAAAATAAATAGAATATAGATAGGGTTTATTTATATTTAAATTGATGCTACTCACGTAACCAGATTCTCATTCTGCAGCAACAAATTGAATCTCAGCTGTAAATAATCACGAGGTTGGGTAGCTAATAATGTGGTCAGAATGTGCCAGGGCAGCAGATGTTTTGATTCATTTGAATACTCCAGCGGCTTGATGTTCAGCAACACATTACGATTGAAGCTCTGCAATTGAATGTTATTAAAACTTTAACTCCCTTATGAAATAAGAACTTCGCTCACTCACATGCAATGCAAGCTTCTGCAATTGAGCATCATCATCATTCAGCATGCAGGACCAAATCCGACAATAGACATCGACGAGTATGGAACAGTTGCTGTAGGTCTGGAGTAGAGCGTCTATGGTTTCCAGTGTTGTTTTCCGCACTGAAGAAAGCGTGTCAGTGGCTAGCGCTGATATCTCTCGCTCAAAATGCGTGTTGTATAAAATTCGGTTATTAATTTGAATCAGACGCTCCAGCAAAGCTAGGCCCGAGCAACGAGCTAATCCATTGCTAGACATAAGAAAGCGATCGTAAATCAATCGTGGCATTCTCTTAACCTCCGCTTCCAGTTCCTCGAAGCCCTCAAAGCTATAGACATAATGTAAATTATCAGGCCTTTCGAGACTGATCTCAGTTTGTCGAGAATTCAATTTAGCTTTTGATTCTAGATCATCGTATTGAACAAAATTGATGACCTCATGGAGTATTCGGGTTGTGATGGGCGAACCGTTCCTAATGGCTAAGGTTAGCACCTGGCTGGCCTTGCGACGCACGCTGAAAGTTTTGTCATCGAGACAGCGAATTGTCTCTCTGATCAAAGCAACTTCTCTGGGTTTAGTGGATACATCGTGTCGAAAGATGCGCCACTCCACCTGTGTCTGATGCTGCAAAATGCGTTCAATCAGCTCGAGAGATCTCAACTGTAAGCCCACTGCGTCATCTGCTTGTATTGCTTGAAGTAGCAAATCTGTGCAGGATTTGTTGCATTTGGAATAGAGAGCTGCATCATATTTGGCCGCATATCCAATAGCAATTTTCTCATCACCAACTTTCCACTAAAATAAATTTGGTTGTAAATGACATATGTATTATAATTTGGTGCAGCATACAGTTTAACTTACCTCTTTAATAGGATTTGTTATCACGCATTCAATGTAATTTTCCAATACTATTGACAATATATCAGGATACTTGTCCAATAGCTTGATAAACCAGTCTGAAATATGTTCGCCACTTTTTGGACCAGAACCCTTCGTGTTTTCGGGATAAATATGCATATAAAACGTTTCCGTCATTATATGCATCAAAGTCTCGTATACGTCTCCATTTTGCGCAATGGTTATCTCGTCTAACAATTCAAAACATTTCGCATGTAATTGGGGTGCACCTGAAAAAAATATATTTAAAATTTTTAACCGACATTATTATTTTGATATTCAGTCGATATACAAAACAGTGCGTATATTTAGCTGTTTATTCTATCAATTTTGTTCTGTCTAGCTTTTTCCCGCTGGAGCTAGCTTCTGTTTGGCTTTTCAATAGTTGGCACGACTAGTATATCGATAGCTACGATAAGTGATACGATGACATTTACGAATCGCATTCTCTGCTCTAGCAGTGCAATTACGAACGATAACAACGAATAAGATTTGTGAAATTTAAACATAAGCTTTTTTCGTTAATTTAGCAGTAAAATGTTAATTTTATTGCGCAACAATGCTGGCAGTGCGGCAATCAGCCAGGCACGTAACATTGCCAAACGATTGTTGAGCACAACAACAGCAAACCGAAACCCAGAGACAACACCGGCAACGGAGCACTATGATATCATTATTGGCGGAGGTGGCTTAGTTGGTACAACACTTGCTGCTGCGCTAGTCAACAATGTGACTCTGGCCGATAAGAAGGTATTGCTGCTGGAGGGTGCACCGCCATTCAAGGGCTTTGACCCCTCAGGTCCCTATCAAAATCGCGTTTCGGCTATCAATAGAAACTCTGTGGAGCTCTTTAAATCTATCAATGCCTGGACACACATTGAGCAGGCGCGATACAAGCCCGTAAAACAGATGCAAGTGTGGGAATCAAACAGCGACGCACTCATTCAATTCCAGCATGATAATTTTGCCAGCGATGTCGCTTGCATCATTGAGAATGATTTGATACTCGATGCGGTCTATGCACGTGTCAAGGAATTGGACAATGTGAAGGTGTTGAATAAGGCGCGCATTGAGTGTGTGGGTTTGCCTGGTAAGACGGGCGCACCCCACTCTCAAGTTAAGCTCCAGGATGGACGCAGCTTCACATGCGAACTGCTTATTGGAGCCGATGGTGCTAACTCTGTGGTGCGCAAGGAAATGGGCGTTGATGTTCTATCATTCAACTATGACCGAATGGGATTGGTGGCCACGCTGGACCTTAACATGGACGATGATTGTGATAATTCTGTTGCCTGGCAACGTTTTTTGCCCACCGGTCCGGTTGCCCTGTTGCCACTGAGTGCCAAGCACAGTTCCCTAGTCTGGAGCACAACTGTGCCGCATGCTAAGGAATTGCTGGCCATGGACGCAAATGCCTTTACGGATGCCCTCAATGAGGCCTTCTGTAGACAATATCCACGCGTAGATCTGGCGGACAAGGCGTTGCAAGGACTCAATGCTCTCTTTGGAAACAGCAGCGCCCAGCATCAGCGCCAATATCCGCCTAGAGTGTGTGGCGTTCAAGATGGCTCCCGGGCCACGTTTCCACTGGGCTTCTTGCACGCATCTTCGTATGTGTGCAATGGCGCTGCTCTCGTTGGAGATGCTGCTCATCGCATTCATCCACTGGCTGGTCAAGGCGTTAACTTGGGCTTTGGTGATGTGCGCCGTCTGGTGGAAACTCTTGCCGCCGGAGCCTATGCCGGATTCAAGCTGGGCGACACACAACATCTGGTTAAATACGAACGCAAATGTTTGGCCAAAAATGTGCCCATCATGGTGGGTGTGCATGGTCTTCACACGCTCTACTCCACTGACTTCAGTCCTGTGGTGCTAATGCGCAGTCTTGGCCTGCAGCTGACTCAGAATTTACCGCCCATCAAGAACTTGTTCATGAAGACCGCCATGGGCTAAGCAGGACAGCAAAGGGATTTCTTATCTTTAAGTGTTTACAGTTTTATAGTCGCTAACAAAGCAAATAAAGGATGTTTATCTATGCAATTACATCTATTTATCTCTGCGGATATTTAACCCGCTGCAGCTTCAGGCTGCAGGCTCCTCACACATTTCTTCTCATTTATCAAAAACATTTTCTTACTTTTTTTTTACTTCACAACAATTTTTCAAATAATATAAATAAGTTGATTTTGATTTGTTCATAAAATTTAGTTATATTTTGTTCTTCATTAAAAGTAGTAATTGGCAATAGCTGACATATTGCATTTGACGACTTACTTGCTTAATCATAATATTAGAAGGCACATTTGGTACAGACTTTCTGAGAGAGTTTGGTTAAGTTAATTCTACGAATTGCTTTAAAGCTCTTGATGGCTTTTGGTTATATCCACCTGTAGTAAGGTGTTGCTATCGGCCAGGTTTAGTTCCTGATCGAGCATGTTTACGGTGTCCTCTTCCGGAAAGATTTGCTGTCGATTGCTTTTCCGTTGCGCCTCACCAGCTCCATCCGAAATATCAGCAATTTGTTGGGAGTCCTCCGTGTCGGATATGTAGCCCGTTTCACCCGTATAGTGGATGGGATAGAGCAGCATGGGCGCTGCGCTAAATGCAATTAGATTGCGTGGCTCGAAAGCCTGGCTGAGATTCTGCAATGGATGCCGGCCAAACATTACGGGCAGAAATTCATCGACCGGTATAAGTTTTTCTAGTGGCTTAACGGCCAGCAGCTTCTCGGCTCCACGCAGCGTAATGACATAGCCCAGTGTCCAGTAAGAGTAGCCAACATGTACGAGATTATCGCTGCCCTCCACCCAAGGTTCGCTTTCATCCTTCAAACGCTTGCGACCGAAGTAGATGAGGTCATAGTCATAGTTACTTGCCTGTTGGAGCACGCGTAGTGCATTCGCCGTGAAATATGGGTCGAAACGTATGTCATCCTCCAGGATGAGCACCTGGAGTAACTGTCGCTCTACAATCTGCTGCCAAATGCGATAGTGACTGAGAAAGCAACCGATTTCGCCCATTGTCATGGGACGATGATGATACGGATCCTCGTAGCCGGGCATGAAACTAATGCCCATCTCCTGCACCAGCTGTGTGTTCAGTTGCTTGCCATCGACGGCAGCAAAGTGCTCCACTTCCAGGCCCAGTTCGGCAAACAGATTCTCCATCTTCTGACGCCTTTCTGGCCTTCTCTCCAGATTAATCATGAATATATTATCTAGATTCAGCTTAGTTTTCTCGGGCAGTCTAATGTACTTTTGTAAGAATGGATGCACAGGGGGTACAGCTCCCAAATCGTGCACCATGTTAGCTCTGATATTGATTAGTTGATACAAATCCTGCTGTAGTGTATCCGTCGTCTCCAGTGGCTGCATCATATAGCCAAAGGATAAAGTATTGCAGATATGCAATGGCACTTCAGAGCTATTCGCGGATATGGCAAACACAATGATATCGTCCATGGGTCCATTATACACTTCCACATGCCTTGCAGTCTGCATTTCCACAAGTCGCTGGCGGTCAAAGGTTAGATAGCGTGCACCCGCATAGCTCATGTGCACCAGCACAGCAGTATGCACCATTGGCACGGCAAAGACGCCAACTTTCTCCTTATGGTATATCTCTTTGTATTCTGGAGTGCGCTGATAATAATAATCCTCAGTCATGCCACACCAGAAATTCGAGTAGAGACTATCCGACAGCAACATGGGCGCCACAATAGGCAGCCGCAAGGCTGTTAGCTCTCTGAGAGTCTTTGGCTCAGTCAGCAGCACATCGGCATCCAAAAAGAATATAAATTCAGCCCAAATATCGCGCGCATATTGCAGCGCCTCCTCTTTCAATGCAATCAAATGTTTGAAACGCGATGCCGGCCAGTCGTAAGCAGAGCTCTCATTAAGATAACGCGACTGTTCATCATCGAAAGCATAATTGACGCTATGATAAAGGTCCGCCGAATGTTCTAGCCACTCTTGTAGCAATTTTATGCTATTATCGTTGTTATGATCACTGCGTATCCTGTATATATACACATATATGTATATAATTTTCTCTAATTTGAGCTCATTAGTCGTCGCACTTACCAGAAGGCAATGCGCTGCTTGGGATAATCCAGTTGATCTACATAGCTCAAAAACAAGGGTAATATGTGAGCTTTATTGCGCACGAGTAGCGTTATAAGCACTGTTGGCTGCTCGTACTCCAAATCCAGTGCCCAGCCGGCGCCCAAGGCGCATATTGTGATCAGTACTAATTCTATACGCATTTCCACGTCATTCCAAATACATGGTCCAGTTCAAATAGGTCAAACGAACGGATGCGACGGCTGTAGCTGCGGCTGCTGGACAAGTGCGGATCGACTGTCGGGCCGGAATCTATTTTTATACTTGCTGCTAGCGTTCATTGAACGCTCGCCATATGTTTATAATCAGTTACTGAATAACGATAACACATCGATTTGTAAATGCAGGACCTATCGTCAACAGTAACTTTAACTATCGATTGTCAAATTTGGCATGCAATCGGTTTCTGAGCTTGTGGCTGCTCATCTTTAATTTATATTTTCAAAAGTAACATTGCTCTTTAAAAATGTAACAACGATTTATTTTAAATATTTGTACAGAGAATATTTTATGCACTAGCTGCATGAGGTTTAGCATATGTGGGAAAGTTAAGTTTTAAGCCCTCTTTGGCCTCGAAGAACGTGTAGGATAGTGTAATGGTGTCGCAATACTCGAGCGCCGGATCTTGCGTGATTTCTGGATCAATGTAGAAGAATACAGGCATATCCACTTCCTCGTGAGGGTTAAGCATTTGCTCCTCAAAGCAAAAGCATTGGATTTTATTGAAATATGCACCCGCCTCGAAGGGTATCACATTGTAGGTACTAATGCCAACCACCGGCTTGTCCGTCGGATTTTTGGCCGTATAGAAGGCGAGCGCTGTCTCGCCGGGCGCAACTTTAATTTCATACTGCTGCGGTTTGAAGTTCCAGCGCATGGAAGAGCCAATGTCGGCATTGAAGCGTATCTTGAGAACGCGATCGTTCACTTTCACCATGTGCTCCACCTTCTCGGTATCATGACCTTGCGAGGTGGTGCCACCATAGCTATATGCTTGACAAAATATGCTGTACAGTGGCACAGCCGCATAGCTGAATCCCACAATCAGCACTCCGCCTGCAGTTATGTAGTACAGTGTAGACTTTGAGCGTAATTTACGTGCTGCATCTGGATCGTTGCGGTTGCCACCAAGTGTTGACTGTTTGCGACACGTTCGCGTCGTCAAGTGCTGCTTGTTTGTCTGCCTCAGCAGCTGCTGGCAGTGCACGCGCAACGAGCCAAATGTGCGCAACATTTAAAACTTGTTGTTGAAATTGTTATTAACAATTTACAGCTCTCTTCACAATCAACCGTTTGTATAATCTTTGCCTTATAAAACAGCTGTTGGCCCCCTGCCAGTGTGTACACACAAGAATTACCGGTTGGCTCGTTAAGTGTTTACATCAGAAGAAATCTAATAGATATGCGCAGAAATTAAAAGTGATTTATGCATTCACGACTTTTAGCTTGTTCTGCACTTTAAATAGAAATTAATGATATTCTGTAAACTGTACTCCAAGGTTTGTATATTACACATTTGCTTATTTATTGCTTACGCATGTCACAATAGCAAATCGAGCTGCTTGGCGTTTACTACACACATACATATTTACGATATTCAAAATTATATTCCAACTTATCGTAATTTAATAAATTTTCGTAGAATCTTCTAATTTTGTCCTGCATATCAAATCAATCTAATACTCAACTGGGCACACATTCAATATTTAAAAGTTTTTAGCAAATAGCGAATGCTACGCTGGGATAAAGATAAATACAAAATATTTTGTTGTAATACTCACATGCGTTATTATAGCCTTGTCTGAAATTCATATAGAGTATGGTCAGCAGGCAACGCACTATATTATCGCGTGGCTTTAGATGATCTTTGAAGTGGACATAGCGAAAGACGAGTTTGAGATCATCACAAATTGTTAGAAATAATATCCATATATTGTTAGCTAGCGGACTGGAATTGGAATAATTTTCCAGCAGGCGAAAAACACGGAGACAATGCTCGATGACGCCCTCATCGAACACGCCGTAACTTTTGGCGCCTGGAATGGTGAGGCTTAGGAAATACGTGCTAACTGCATTGAGCGCCAGATGAACGTTTACATTCTCATTTATTGGCTGAGGAGCATGTTGCACCAAGTCGTGTGGCAAGAACGCTAAACTCGATAATGCATAAATATATGTCAAATAATCCTTGGGCGCAATGTTCTCGATTTTAGCCCAATTATCATTGATAATGTCGAATCGAGTGTCACTCTCGATATCACTTGATCGCATCAATCTGATGCATTGCGCAAGTTCCCTTAGCGTTTGTAATTGATTATCCTGTCGTTGCAAATCCTGCCGGCACATGGGCAGGGCCCAGAATTTTTGGGCTCTTTGTCCTGTCAACTGGTCGTCATCATCGCAATGCCAATCTTCCACATCAGTCCATTCCACGTTTTGTGCGAACTCCGACTTAAGCTCATAGAATATCCGATTAAGGTCTGACATGTTTTCATAATAACTTTCACACTATATACACGTTGTTTTCACTAAACACGGTTTGAGGACATTTGTTTACAGTTACCACGCAAATGTAATGGCACATCTTAAGCGATGGCTGTGGCTATCGTTATTCATCGATAGAAGCAACACCGAACAGCTGCTTGCGAGCTAGGCCTGGTATGCAGGTCAATTTAAATAACTTTAATAAAAAAGAACTATTCTATAAAAATAGTAAAATCTTATTAAATGATCAATTAGTGGTAATCAGTAATCTATGCATTATGCATTATGCATATAAAATTCGATTCGTTGGCATCGTAGAGTGATTTCACTATGTGTGCGAACAGCATACCTGGCCTTATCAACATATGGATAAATAACATCGAAAAAAAAAAACTACACCCAATTCTGATTTGGCACTTCTCGTACACAATGGACGCTCTTAAAGAAGCGTCCCTCGACAACGACGAGGTGCGCGAGATCCTAAAGAACACGACAGATCTGCGCCAATATTCGCGTCAAATTGAAAAGGAGTTCAAGGATGTGGAGAACAAATCAATTGAGGATTACATTGCCGAGTCGCAGAACATTGCTAATCTGCACAATCAAATCAATGACTGTGATGAGGTGCTGGAACGCATGGAGAACATGCTGATGAGTTTCCAAAGCGTGCTCAACAACATCAGCACCGAAATAACACAGCTGCAACGCAAGTCCGTGTCCATGTCTTTGCAATTGACCAACAGGCAGTCGGTTAAAGCGCAGCTGTCACAGTTCATCGAGGACATGGCCGTCTCGGAGGAGATGATTAACATAATAATGGACACGCCTGTGACAGAGCGTGAATTCAGCACCCAACTGAATGTGCTGAACCATAAGCTGTCGCTGGTCAAGGAGCTAAGCTTTAAGGAATCGAAATCAACGAGCGATGTGAGTGATGTTCTGCACAAGCTGCGCCTCAAAGCCATGTCCAAGATACGCAGCTATCTGCTCGAACAGATCTACAAGTTTCGCAAGCCCATGACCAACTATCAGATATCGCAGAATGCGATGCTGAAGCATAAGTTCTTCTTCGAGTTCATATTGTCCAACGAGCGCCATGTCGCCCAGGAGATATGCAGCGAATACATCGATACTATGGGAAAAATCTACTATAGCTATTTCAAAGTAAGTTAAATGAATAGATATTGATTCAATTAAATATCTGTCGTTTGTTCGTAGAGCTACTCGACACGCCTGTCAAGCCTTAAATTTGAGGAATCCTGCACCAAGGATGATCTAATGGGCATCGAGGACAACGCTTCCAAGGGTCTGTTTTCCAAGACAACGAGTCTCAAGCATAAGAGCACAATCTTTACCATTGGCAAACGCGGCGACATACTTAACCAGCAGCTAGAGGCGCCAATTATAGTGCCCCATGCACAGCTCAAGAATCGCGTAAGCCCCTAGAATGCTGGCATACGACTTTATTTTAATATATTTTTTCCTTTATAGTACACGCCGGAGGCGCTGTTCCGCTCGGAACAATATGCCTTGGTTGACAATGCGTGCCGAGAGTATTTATTTGTAACTGAATTCTTTATGGTGCGCAACACCCAAGCGCAGGATCTCTTCAATCAGATTATGGGCAAAACGTTAACCTTGATGATTGTATGTTAAGGCTGAATCGATGTCTAGTTTATTAATATCGTTAATTGGCTGTTATTTTTATTTTTATTTTTTTAAGAAAAATCTGGAAACCTCTATACATGATTGCTACGATACTATTGCCATGTTCCTTTGCATACACCTAATCTTTCGCTATCAGCTCATGTGCCACAAGCGCTGTGTGCCAGCACTGGATAAGTCAGTATACTATACTATATATATATATATGATATCATCTATGTCCTTTTATTTCTGTTTAGATACTGGGACTCTTTGCAAGCAGTTATTTGGCCACGTTTTGAGTACGTGTTTCGCCTAAACATTCAGAGCATTCACGACTGTGATCCCACAAAGTTCAACAAGGAAATGGGTCCACATTATGTACGAGTAAGATTTCCTAGCTAATCTTTGTTAATCTAAATCCTTTTCCTTTCAGATAACGCGTCGCTATGCTGAATTTAGTGCCGCCATTGTTGGAATCTCGGAGCACTTTCCCAATGAGCTGGTCAGTCGACTGCTGCTGGAGCTGCAAAATGAAGTCGAATGCTTCATTTTGCGTATGGCTGCAATATTCGCCACACGCAAGGATCAGCTTATTTATTTGATCAATAACTATGATCTAGTGCTTGGCGTGCTCATGGAGCATACGCGCGACAACTCCAAAGAGGCTGAAGCGTTTCGTGAGCAGTTGAATGCGCGCAGCGCTGAATATGTGGACGAGATCTTGGCGCCACACTTCGGAGGCATAATTCAGTTTGTCAAAGAGGGCGAGCAGTATGTGGAAAAGGATCAAGCCGATGAGCTACGTAAGCAGGAGAGACGTAGTCTTGCTCTAGTGGCCAGTTTCTCAGCAAATTGGAAAAAATCTTTAGAGGAGCTCAATCGCGAGGTGCTTCTATCGTTCCCATCCCTATTGACCGGCTCTCAACTGCTGCAATTGGCGCTTGCCAGTTTGGTCCAATATTATCATCGTTTTCACAAATTGTTGACGCCAAATGCGCGCGCCCAACTAACCAATATCCATGTGGTTATGGTCGAGATCAAGAAGTACAAAAGCAACTATTGAAGTGACAATTTAAAATGTTTTAATTATAATGCGTGCATTGCGAAACATTCCAAAAATAAAATATACGACAACTGTTGTAAGTATGTGCAATGGAGGCTGCCATCAATTTGGAGTTGCTTGTGTAATCATTCCTCATCCTCGAACATCATCTCAACCAGATCCTTGTTGGAGCACCGCTCGCCGTCCAATCGCTGAGGCGACTTCCAGCGCAGCAGTGTTGGCAAGAAAATCAGATGGGTGTTGGGATCCTTGCGGAATGGACAGTTCAAGTCTTTCCAGCTGCAATATCATAATCTCATTAAATAATTCGCTCATATTCTTTACGAGTTCCATATAAAGATAAAAAGCAGACCAAAAGAAAGTTATTTAAACAGTCAGCCAGTCTTGCTAAATTGAATGTTTATCACTAACTTAATGGGCGTGACAACATGCACAACACAAATGCTTACACATATATGTGCACATTCGCATTTATATTAGAGGTGCTGTAAAATGTTCTTGAGAGTTATCGTCGACAGACCTCATAACTTTGAAACAACAAGCCGTACGTATATATTTTTGTACAGTGGTCAACATTTAATTATACTCTTGTGCAGTTAACGTAAATTATTAGCTCGAAATATATGGCTGGTATGAGCGCCCTTCTGAGCTAATTTCATGGAGCTTTGTTCTGTGGTAGCCAGCATCAACATGTACAAGGGGCCACGTCAGATTATTATAACATTTAGATGGAGGAACAAAATTATACGAATATAAATACTAATTCAATAAAAAGTATTTCATATTCCAATTGGAATACTATTTAAATCTTATACGAATCACGTATTGATCTTATTCAAATAAGCAGAAAATTCATTTTCATTTGCAACATTTTTGCAAGGGCATTAAATATTCGGCACCGCGAAACTGTCAGCTGTCACTTGTTTGAAAACTATGATTATATTACAACTTACTATGAACGCTCGCCAACATCGACATGCACAAAGTGGGAGTTTTCAGGGGCCTTCTTCAATGCATCATGTATCACCGGTTCAGCTGTGGGAGTAGAGCACGTATAAATTAACCATTTGGGAATTCAATAATTAAATTTGTAATTGTATGCTTTTTGCGGTTAACCACTAGACATCATTGCATATTACCCTTGACACAATATGGACACCAGCTCTCGCCATTTTCGTCTTTGCCACCACTGAAGAGGACATGCACTTGGTTGTTGCCGTCACCGGTTTCTAGTTCCTCCATTTTTTTGGAGAACTCTTCGTAGCCCTTAACATTGTGTGTTATGACCATAATTTTGCCTTGTTTTAATTTATTAACACCGCCTGCGAGTGTACGCTTGACGATATGCCGGACGAGCGTTGATGGCGACGTGATTGAGCACTTTTAAGTAACTGGTATAGAAATGTTACGAGCTTATTGTTTTATATCGCCTTAATTTTGTTATCATGAGAGTCAACGTTTGCTTATCGATAGCATACTCTGTTAGTAGTTGAATTACCGATATGCTCTATGGGGTAAGAAAAGAACAGAAACAGTGCCGCCTCTGAAGTGCATCGATAGCTGCTATGGATTATATAAAATATATCGTTAATTTACTCATCACCGAATTCATCAAAACAGATGTTCGACTTATATTTTGTTATTCACACTCACGGCAGTTTGCTTTATAATTTGGTTTAGATAATTATTTTACTCAAAACATGGCACAGTCAATACTACTGCGCAGTTTATTGCTGCACAGGAAAACGATGCTGTTGCCCACAACCACACGGCTTCGATCTCTTGCAGCGTTGCATTTGAGCAATTCCGTAGCGCAGCAAGCGAAAAGCAGTTTGTAATTCCCAAAATAAGAAAGTGACACTGGGCTAATAAATCATTTTGTTAGATGGTGGCGCACTCCAGGAGTCTAGCGGAGGAGGTAGTAATGTGTCTACTGATGTTCGACCCATCGGCGAGAAGATCAAAGAGAACACTAAGACGGCCAGTTATACGGCTATCATTTTGGCCGGACTCGGTGTAACGGGCATTATGTTTTATGCCATTTTCCGCGAGCTCTTCTCCAAGGAGAGTTCGTGCAATATATATTCCAAGGCATTGCAAATAGTCGTTGATGATCCCCGTGTTCAGGATGCCATTGGAGCACCCATCAAGGGCTTTGGTGAGACGTCGCGTCGTGGTCGTCGTCAGCATGTGGCCCACACCAGCTTTGAGCGGAATGGAGTGCCCCACATGCGCATGCAGTTCTATGTGCAGGGACTACGAAACAAGGCAACCGTACAGTTAGAAGCAAGAAGGGTGCGCACTCTAACTAGAGATCTTAAGAGTTATATATAATCTTCTACTATTGTTTTCAATGCAGGACTCAAAGGGACAGCTGGAGTTCCGTTATTTATTTGTTCAATTAGATCATTACCCACGCACCACAATCGTCCTGGCGGATAATCGTGCCTATGATCCTACGCCGGATCGTGCCCAATCGGGCTTTGGCAATTTGGCCCTCATGTCCAACAGCCGCGACAAATAGGAGAGCTAGAGCCACCATAATCCATAATCCAACACAAACACTTAAAATTTCATGTATGATTTGTTATTTAATGTACACATTGACTGAAATTGGGAAAAGTGTCTCATTCGCCTATGGAGAAATTGTCCATTTCTAGAATGGCGCCCGACTCGTGTCAGTAGAGCTTCTTCCATGGAATTATCTCCCAAGAGCGAACGATATGGCGTCCGAATAGAAAATCCTTCAGCTTGTTCATAATGTAAAATGAAATTCCAAAGAATGACGCAAAATACAACCAGAACTGTCCAAGACGTTCCCAAATGCTCAAATGATAGCGTGCCGGCAACTGCAGCACATCCAGCTCCAGGTCGATGGTTAGGCCGGGAGTTAAGCGTGGCGGTGCGGTCCTGTAATAAGTTTCCTGCACAGCCAGCTGGAAGTAGGCCGGATTAGCTTTCACCTGGGCCAGCAGCGATTCCATTTTGTATTGTGAAATGTCCGCCAAGCTGTTGCTCGTGTCTAGTTGCACCTGGCGGAAGTGGGTCTGCAAGTTACGTCCCGGAAACGGGCAGGTGAACTCCACAAATTGCTTCAGCTTGAGTTCGCCTTTCAGCTGGATGTGTCCGTTCTGGAGCCGCACTGCATGCGGCATTTGTAGTTGATGCGCCAGCACAGCGGGCGGATTAAGGAGGCATTTGTGGCGCAGCTGCCCCTCGAAGAACAGCAGCAAATCGAAGTTTATCAGAGGTGCAGGCAGCTGCTGCAGCTCCAGCTGAAAGTGCACGCGATCCGTTACCGTATCGTAGTCCAGGTCCTGTGTCCAATATTTGCTCGCCTCGCAGCGGCTCGAAAAGTTTTGCACGCGTGCATTGAAGTTGGCGAAGCTGCTGCAGGCCAGAAAGGACGATTCTAGCGACTCATTGTCCTGCGACGACTCCACGTGAGCCACAAATATATACTGATACTTAAACTTCAGGTCCGGCTGCTCATATAACACGCGCGATTCTGATATGCCGGAGTAGGGACTCAGAAGAGAAACCAATAAGACGGGCAGCATTACGGAGAGGGCTATAAAGACGAGCACCAGCAGCGAGGCGAGCGAACATAGTGAGTTCTTGTACACAATGGCCGTGTTTGTGGTGTGCAGCGGTATGAATTTCATCTTGATTACTCAATTTTCTCAACTGATATTCGACTGTCGAAGCAAAATTTGCAATTGTCAAGTTGTGTTTTGATTTAATTCAAATTCGTTGCTGGGCAACGTCTGTCAAGTGGCGCCATCTATTGCTCAAAACGGTTGCCGACGATTTCAGATATCTCATAGCTGTCAGCTTGCGACAGATAGCACGCCTCGTTAAATTTGTGGTAGTGTCTGACAGGTCATACGCGGGGTAAGTGTCTATTTCACAAGTTTTGTAGCTATTTGTTTATGTATTTCTGAATTTTTTCGTTAAGCTGGCTGCAACTTCGTTAAGTGTGGAGCAGCTCAAATGAGCGTTATTTTAAAAGTCGTTTAAAAAATGCAATGATTAAAAGCAATTTGCCAAAAACTTGATCTCTTTCTTGTTTTTTTTTTGTAACTATCTCACTGCATGACACGCTTGCTGGCAATTTGATCACAGCGCTTTCAACACTCTTTAAAGTAAGCGCATTAAATTTAAAGTTCCAACTTCCGATTTTTATGCGTTTCAGTCGAAAACCAGTTACTTCATTTAAATTTGCGTAAATGTTGCTCAAGTCAAAAAAAAAAAATTTACTTTTCACATTTTGGTTTTTGGTCGATGTGGGCTGCAGCTTCTGTTGTTGGAAATCGGGGTGTCTCGTTGCAAGAATCCCATAATTATGTGCAATCAATACTTTTGCTGTATCGGCTTATGCTTAAGCTGAATATGGCCGGAACGGATGCATTTCGCTGAGGATCAATTGACGAACGGAGTCAGCTAAATAATTGACCAGAGTCGTGTTGGCCAGTTCACTAATAAAGCGATTGGCAACGTCCGATTCGAGGCGATTCTTAAGGCGGATGCGTGCACTGTTCAAGTTTTCAGCTGCTATTGATTTCAGTTAAGTGAAAGAAATACTCGTAACTCTTTACTTTACTGACTGAATCACAGTTTAAAAGCCGTTCTTGTGAACTAGTTCTTTAAAAAACTTTGGCAATGTTTTCAGTGTGCTCTATTTCCTGTAATTTATGTTATATTTACAATTTACAATTTATTATATTAATTATTAATTTACAATTTATATCATATTATAAATGATTGAATTCCTTTAGACATAACTCAAAAAAGAAACAGAAAAATTCTCTTTTCTTTTGACTTGAATCTGTTTAAATGAGTCCTCAAAAACATTGACTTTGCCAATCTGAGCTGTGACAAGGCTTACAATATGTATTAAAATATATATTTTTATTTATTCTTTTGACATTCCATTGTCAAGTTGTTGTGCAACTGTTTACTGTTTACTTTCGTAACTTAGGCATTTGCTTCATCCTGGATTGTCGTCTGCGTGATATGTCAGTTAAATATCGCCTGCTTGAATATATTTTCTTATACATTTATATAAATATTCCTCTTTTTTTTTGTGATAGGTGTGCTGCGACTTTGCTGATGGACATGCTCTTGTCAAAACTAAGAAAAAGCAGTTAAGAAATATGATGAATAAATAAATAAATAAACCGCAGCACTCTTTGACAGTTACATGTGTTTGACAGTTGGACAGGGTTGCCAAGTGTGTGCATGAAATATGAAATGTTATTTGATTGATTCGCTGTAATACCCCCAAAACACACTCACACAACAGATTGAAAGCGAGCTTACAGCTTTACTAAAAACAAGTAAGAAAGCTCTAGTCGAGACTACTCGACTACGAGATCCCCTGAACCCTTGGAGTAATAGCTATTTCAATAATTTTTCGCGTCTTTCAGCTTACACAAGAAACACGCACACACACACACACACGCACGCACGCACGCACACACAGGCATACATACACACACATACATACACACATACACACACACACACATACACAAACAATTACATACATATACACACACACATAAACACGCATGGGCGGCAGTGAGCGCTTACTATGAGAACTTAATTGCTTATTAACTTTTGTGGACGTACGATCTTCATGAAACTTTCAGATTATGATTATGACATGGATATGCATGTAATTGCCAAAGCACAAGTCTCTAGTATTTGAAATACGCTTTTTACAAAAGTGAGGGTGAGGGCGTGAATTTAAGGGTGGGGGGTAAATTTTAACAAAAACCGAAATTGTATAAATTGCATATAGGCATACATTAAAAATTTGGAGACTCTAGCAATAAAGGTGTAGAAGATATAATTTTATAACTGGTTTTCGATAAGGTTTTTTTATCGATAAAAAAAGATCGGGATGAGTTATCGATTTTTAATGATAAACTTGATATGCGCGCTGTAATTACGAACATTTTAAAAAGAATTTGAAGTCTCTAGCTCTTATATCTTCTGAAATCGACGCGTTCATACATACGGACAGACGGACAGACGGACAGACGGACGGACGGACAGACGGACAGACAGACGGACAGGGCCAAATCAACTCAGCTCGTCGCCCTGATCAAGAATATATATACTTTGTGGGGTCTGCCACGCCTCCTTCTGCCTGTTACATACATTTCAACAAAACCATTATACCCTGATTTCCCATTGAAAATGGGTTCAGGGTATAAAAAAAAAAAAAAAAAAAATTGGGAGAAAAAATGGGGTTTAAGAAAAGAAAAATCAATATTTTTACAACTGTCTTACGCAAGAGTTGAACACGACTGCGTAATGCTCTACTATATTAATCAAGGGACAGATTTAGAATATGTTGGCTGCTCAAATAGGCCAGGTGGAAAACCCAAAGGGTCTAGCAATGGGCGGACGATATATAAACGATGATGGATTCCTAGGGAAGCTAGTTCGATGATAATTAATATGGATGATGGATAAATAGATAAATGAACACTGCTGGATAATGCGCACAAAGCTAACATTTCACATTTAAAGCAACTGAAAGAAGAGCTAAAAAATCAAAAGGAAAAGAGAAAACTAATATACTCTCCTGCCGCATATACAGTCAAGATGCCGAATATACATACATACATACATATATACATATGCCCAACTACACACAGACACAAACACAGCCCCCACACAGTCACACCTTGACGCACATTTGATATGCGAGGCACGCAGCCAGGACAACGCCAGCTCTGCGCCCATATATCCTTTTTCAACGAAAATTTCAGCTTTCACTTGGCTGCGCGTACGTGACGCCGTTTGCCGCAAAGGAGCTGTTGAAGTGCCAAATTTGCACAGCCACGCCAGAGGGAGGAGGGGGCGGGCGGCTGGTGGCCAGGCAAATACAGGTGGGCGTGTTGTGTATTGGTGTGTGTGTGTGTGTGTGTGGGGTAAAAAGTAGCAGTTTATTAGGCGCACCAAATTAACATAGGACTACTAATGTCCTTTCGGCCACCCAACCTAGCGCAGCTCAGCTGAAAACGTTTCGGCTGGCGAATTTTATTAGAGTGCAGAGAGTCCCGTTTGTTTTTGTTGTTTTTTTTTTTTATTTTGCTTTTCTAAAATTACAACGCCTGCGCGAATTTATTTGATTTCCCTTTTTATTTTTGTGCACTTTTTTTTCTCATCTTTTCACCTAGTGGGCTTGTCAAGCCCCTTTCGGCTGGATGCTGGAAAAACGAAGGGGAAATTGTGCGTCCCCCCCTTTTTTTTTGTTCTTTGGTATATTTAGTTAGTATCCCCAAGGAAATCAAAGAAAAATGTATGAACGTTGAGAAAGTTGCTTTAATATTTATATTATATGTGGATGTGTACGTATGTATGTGCTCATAATTCCCCTTACAACACTCAAGCGCTAAAGTGTTACACACAGACAATCATACGAATGAGAGGGGTAGTTGTGCTAGGTGCCTGCAAAGAGAGAGGGAGAGAGAGGGTGGGGGGAGGTAGGAAGAGGCAGACGCAGGAGTAAAGTGCTCAACACTAGCATATACACATATATATACATACATATACATACATACACACATATATATATATATATATATATTTGACAA